GAGCCAGATCTGCCCCACTGAGCGGCTCCCAAATTCCCAACCACAAAAATGACCTACAGTTGCCATGTGTTCTTGTTTTGAGCTGCTTCATTTTGGGACAGTGTGTTATGCCACCACTCATGTGTCTGGGTGCATTCTCCAGGGACATGCATTTTTAACTGGGGCTCACAGAGGCTGCCCGTGGCACAGAAGAGGCCCTGCTCAGACAGGAGCCAGGTCTGCTCTGGGCCTGCACGCTCAGTCACCAGAAGACCTCAGAGTTCCTGTCTTACACACTTTGCAAAGCCAAGGGGACAGATGTGGGGCTGGAGGTCCTCTCAAATCCCTTCCAGCTCCACAGCTTCAGCTGCAGAGAGAGGCTGTGGGAGCCAGGCCAGCTGGGACTTTCTCCACAGCTCACAGGTTGCAACCTGAGGCCACTGGAAGACAGGAAGGCCCGGGCCCCTCCAGCATCTGACAGGGCCCTACTTTACTGTACTAAGGAGGACACAGAATCTCCAGCCCCAGTGGGGGTCTCGGGGAAGAGGATTTATACAAGACACAGTTCAACCCCTGGGAAAGACCTGAGGCTTAAGTCGGAAACCACAACGGAGAAGGAAAGGTTTGACTGCCCCAGGCCTGGCCTCAGAGAGATTTCAAAACCAGTGGTTCTCAACCAGTGTGGCCTTGACCTCCCCCGGGGACATGTGCAATGTGGACACTGTCACATCGGAGACATTTGGAGCTGGCACAACAAGGGGCAGGGGCGTGACTGGGACCTAGATGGGTGCAGGACGGGGGGGGGGGTGGCAGGAGGCACCCTACGGTGCACAGAACGACCCATCCACAAGGGATTATCCTGCCCAGAACAGCACCAGCCCCAGCCCAGAACGGGGGCTAAAGGAAGCCACCAAAGAGCAGGGAACACAGGCTGGTAAATAGTGATTTTCCCCAATCGTCACGGGAGTTGGGGAACTACTCCCTGAAGGCAAGATCTAGAAATACCTCAGGGTTAGACTGAAGGGCTGAGATAGCCCTCCTCTCTCTCTCCCTCACATGCACACACGCACACACGCACAGGATTCATCTCTGCACGGTGGAACTTGGCGACCAGGGACTGAAAGACTCTCAAGGCTACAGGCGACCAAGTTGAAACTTGGAGCGGAACCACTCAGGAACAAGCCTGGATTCGCCGGGGCTGAAGTGCCCACACTCAGGGTGGCTCTTCAAGAATTAAAATAGGACCGAGTCTTCAGGCCCCAGAGGAGGGCTCCTGCAGCGCCACATTGCCTCTTCGGGGGCCCCCACTCCGGGCGGCTCCTCGGCGTGGTCGTGGCCTTGGCAGTGGCGGTGACCGCATCCGCCCCAGGCCCCAGCCCGCCGGAGGCGTGCACCGGCCCAGGTGTCCGGCCCTCCTGGCTCCCGGCCGGCAGAGTGCGCCGCTCGGTGCTGTCCCGCCGGTCTTCACAGCCTCGGTCCTGATGTTTTGGACTCCGGGCCAGGTTCCTGCCTACGCGCCTCGCGATGTCCCCGCACAGCAGCCCCACGCGGCACCCAGCTTCGGGCGAGCCGCCTCCCCGCACCCCGCGAGGCCGCCCGCCAGCCCGGAAAGCAAGCGTCTGGGACTCTGGGGGTTCGCGTCCCGATTCGCAATCCCGGGCACCGGTCCAAGGGCGCAGGACGAGGACGCGCGGGAGGCCGGGACCACTGGAAAGACTCCCGGTCCTGGGGCAGAAGGGGTTAGCGCCACATGACCGCCCACCGCGCGTCCCAAACGCTGCCACCCCTGCCTGCACACCTCGCCTCACCAGCGCAGCACGCCGCGGGCACATCAAGGGCACGCCGAGGGCACGCGCCTTCGCACTGCCCAGCTCCCCCGGGGAGCCTGGTGGGAAGGTGTCACAGACCACTTCAGCGAGGGCCAAGGGAGAGAACGGGACGCCCTGGGTGTGCCTGCGCGCGCGCGCGCGCGCGCGTGTGTGTGTGTGTGTGTGCGTGTGTGCGTGCACGTGCGTGGACAGGAGGACCCGACCGTCCCAAGACACTAGATCCATTCTGGTGCCGCTTTAGCAACCGAGGGGAGCAGATCCCACCCTCGGCAGACGAAGGAAGCGACTCGCAGACAGCCGGTGGGTCCAGTGTCCCAAATCCGCCTCCACTGAGCCTCAGAATGCGACTTCCCTTGGACATAAGTCCTGTAGGAGTAACCAGTTTAAATGAGGTTGCAGTGATTTCCAATGACAAAGGGAAGGAGCTCTGGGGAGGCCCGGAGGTGGCGCGGGCGGGGCCCTCGGAGCTCGGTCAGCTTCTTCCGGGCCGTCTAGGGCTCCTGAGCAGCGGCGCGAGTGGGGGAGGAACCACTCCTGTCATTTTAGCTGCTGAGCAGTGGGCAATAGTTCCCGCGCGATGAACATCCGCATCAGGCCCGGGGCACAGGAAGGACCCAGTGTGAGGGACAAGGCTGAGGGAAGGCACCCGGCCCAGGAGGGGCCCACGGCACAGGCTGAGCCCAGCAGGCGGCACTGGGGAGGCGCGGATCCTTTGCCAGATCAGAAAGGGGCTGGGAGCCCAGGGGGCTGGGCGGGTGAGAGGGCGAGCTGTCCACAGCCACCGACAGCGGGTCAGGAGGGATCCGTGGTGTCCCTGCGGGAGAGACCACTCGGACGACGGGACGAAGGAGCATGGTCGGGTGCGCTCAGCAACGCGCGCGGCAGCACCGCCCAGAATGAGGTGCGGCTCCTCCTGATGACCACGGACCCCGCTGCCACCCGGAGTTCACCAGGGGCCACACGGCTGCTCCTCTACACTTTCACTAACTATATGTAGGCCAGTTTTGAATCTGATAGCCCCAATTTGTGCCCGCTTATATAAAAACCTTTATTTCCTTTGCCATTTTGAAAATTAAATCCTTTTGTGGAAAGAGAACTGAACCTCAGAGTCAAAAGCCTTGGGTTCTGATCCTGGCTCTGTCACTTAATGGCAGTAGTCAAAATGTATTTCTGAGTTGGGCATGGTGGTACACACCCATAATTACTCTGGGAGGCTAAAGCAGGAGGGTCACAAGTTCAAGCCCAGCCTGGGCTATTTAGCAGGTTAGTTAGACCTTGTCTCAAAATTTTTAAAAATAGTAAATTTTAAAATATTTTTAAATAGTAATATGTAAATAATGAGTAGGGATGTAGCTCAGTGCAAAGGCCCTGGGTTCAATTTCCAGTACGGCAAAAAATAATAATAATAAAAGTCTGAGCTTCTGTTGTCCCATATCCAAAGCAGGAACAAGAACAATGCTGTCTTCACAAAGCAACAGCCAGGAGTAAATAATACAATGTGTGTGAAAGGTAATTTATGGGCCCTCAAATAAGGTTTGCTTGTATGAAAACAACACTGCTAGTCCACGGATTCTCTACTTAGGCTGCAGTTGTGTATTATTAATGTGGCTCCAGCTATCAGTGAAAGGTTCGAATTCTCAAATTCAGCTCCTGGCCGCACTCCACCACTGTTCTGCCCCCTCTGCAGCGTGGCAGCTCCTCTCTGGCACCAGGACTTTAGCAGGTTAGCCATGGCCTTCTCCCTTCCACATGCCTGACTCCTACCAGGCACTTGCTGATTGTTGATTCAAACAGAGCTTGGCAGGGGCTGGGGTGTAGCTCAGCAGCAAAGTCAGAGTGCTTGCCTAGCATTAAACAATAAACTGGGCATGGTGGTGCACACCTGTAATACCAGCACTCTGGGAGGCTGAGGCAGGAGGATCACAAGTTCAGGCCCATCCTGGGAAACTTAGTGTCTCAAAATAAAAAGTAAAAAGGGCTGAGGATGCAGCTCAGTAGGAAGGCCCTGAATTCAATTCCCAATGCTGCAAAATAAATAATAGGCTGGATTTCATCTTAATAAGATGTGGACTGTAACAGCACTTGACTTGTATAAATGGAGATGTCAGTACCCTCCACGTATGTGAGAACATGTACTATTTTTCTGTGCCCACATATTTTACTTAACATAATGTCCTCCAGTTCCATCAGTGTTGCCTCAAATGACAAGATGACATACTCTGTGGCTGGCAATATTTCTTTACCATTCAGCTGCCAGCACACACCTTGGTCTATTCCAGCTCTTGGCTGTTGCTCATGGTGCTGTGGTGAGCATGCAGCAGGGCATCTCCTTTCCTTGGGGTATGCACGGAGTCCTCCAGTGGGAAGTCCTCACTGAGGAGTTGGGGAGGCCAGAGCCCAGCTGGCCCTCCAGGCAGGGGGAACCAGAGCCATAGATGTGGCATCCTTGGGCCAGACTGAGGACGAGTGGAGCCTACAGGAGGGGCGGTGTCACCATGGGGGGCTCCATGGTGCCCGGGATGGCATCAGTCCCCCAAATGCAGAGCCCTCACTTTCCTCGGCTCCATCCCTGACCATAGCCTACAAAGACAGGCTTGACCCCAAAGACAGAGGAATCTCTTCAGCACCAGGCAGGATTCAGTTTCTCCTCTCCTCTGGTAGCACAGGGGTTCTCTGTCAGGGGCTGCAAGGACTGTACACCCACCAGGAAATCACTTTCTGTCACCAGATGTCAGAGGCTCAGCTGCACCCTGTCCCTTCACTTCAGCCAGAAAAGATGATACTGTGATGCTTATCCTGTTCTTCTCTGATGGCAATGAATTTTTAATTGAAAGAACTGTCGCAGAAAATTAAGAAAAAAATAACAGGCATATGCAGATTCTCTTGCTAAAGTCACTTATGGTTCTGAGATGTCACAAGACCATTTTCCCTGTGAGTGATGAAACTAGCACAGGTGCACTATTATCTATGCCTGGGCTTCTCTGTCCATGTGACATAGTTACACACATAACTGCACTAATAAACAAACTCAACTACACTTATTTTAAGCACATTAGCAACAATGACTCCCAAATTCATTAACAAATGAACTTAGGCAAATGTGCTTTCTTTTGTTCTACAATCCATTAAATGAATTTGTATGCAGAAGCCCTGGAAATCATTCTGGAAACACACACACACAAAATACGCTTATTTATTCATAGGAAATGCCACTTATGACTTTAATATTAAACATAGTTATGACAGTCAGCTCACAGAATGCATCAGGTGCAAAGCTCCTTTCAAAGGCCTTAAATCACTCCCACAGACATGGAGATGAATGCCGCCTCACCGGTATGCACAGAGCAGCTCACAAGACGTAGAAAACAAAGTCTGCATCTCAAAGTGCGGTGTGTGCTCTGGTTACACACCATCCTTACAAAAGTCTCTAATACGACATGATGTGCAGGGAAGGACACAGCAGTGAGTCCTTTAGAGCCGGGCCACGGTGTTCGGGTCTGAGGGAGAATGGTGTGTGACCCATCATGAATCCCAAGCCAGCCCCAACATCTCTGAGCAGCTAGAAGGCAACACCCATATCAGCCTTGGCTAGAAGAGGCTTCAAGGTCAGCCAGGGAGAGGGAGCCAGGCAAGGGCACCAGCTGCCCCAAGTTCTGATACCCATGAAGACTGATGGGCAAACGGTAGTCACATTATTGTAAAATTCAAATGTCATTTGTACCACATTATTTTATATATAATTTGTATCAAAAACCAATGACTTTTCCTGAAGTCAGGCCTGGTAACATCTGAAGTTTATATGATACCTCAGTAAGGGCTTTTACCTTCATGATTTTATGAAGCTTTTGGGGTTTGTTTTATAACTATATAAATTAGTTATAATGTACAAAAATATTTTATATTAAAGTTTAATAATAATGAAAATAATGATGATGCCCCAAGGGGAAGGTGCAAATCCCAGTCCCGGAGTTTCCAACATGGCCCAGGCTCAGGGAAGCATGAGGACCTGGTGAGAAATCTGTACACACCTGAGAAATCCAATGAACAGAGTAGGAGGGTATTTTCACTACACCTGCACTTGATAACCAGCAAGCCCCCGGCATAGCACACGGCATAGCACACTGGTGTATAATCAGTGTTTTAGGCACTCTCTGTTGGACAGCAGAGTTCCCTCAAAAGGTAGCCATTCTCCTAAGGTGCAGATGTCTCATCCCCACACTTAAATATGTTCCCTGAAGCACTCACTGTGTGGTAATACCACCGTGAAGGGGGGAAGTAATCAATCAGACAGTGTGAAACAAGAGTCACTGACATAAGAGATCCCTTACTAACACCATAAAGATGTAAAAGATCCCTTTTACATCATAAACCCAGTTCTCTCTGGATAAGGAGCCAGGTAAATTCTAACCAGAACAAAACTCAGCAGCCTCGCTGAGTAACCATGACCGTAACCTCACTCCTAAACTTCTTCCTACTGGGCAGAAAGGATGGAGATTCTTGATTACATATCAATTAATGAAATAAGCTATTCATTTTAAAAAATCTGAGCACATCAAAATCTGAGCTCCTCAATCCAAGGGCAGAAGTATAACAAAATGGAGATTTCAGTTTGTCACTTCTTGAGGCCCAGCCACTTGGGCTGATTAAGAAGGAAGATCCAGTGGTTGTCTCAGAATGCAGTGATCAGCACTCACATGTGCAACTAACCCTGGTGTATGGTACACCTCCTCTGAAAAACACACAACTGGCATTCACATTTCAAAGACAGAGAATAGGGCTGCGGATTTAGCTCAGTGGTTCTGCCACCTGCCTTGTGAGTGCAAGGCCCCGAGTTCAATCCCCGGTACCAAAAAAAAAAAAATACAGAATAAACTGTCAAAGCTCAAAGACATTTATGTACAACTATATTAGTGGGAAAAAAGATGAAAATAAGGAAACACATCCAATATCAAAATTCTAACAATGGCTGTATTTAGGTGATAGAAATAGGTTTTTTCTTCTTTTTATCATTTCCCAAATTTCTTTAAAGACCATGTAGTTCATTGATATAAATATGAATGTCCCCTAATCCAACTTAAAGTAAGATTAGTATACTTCTATTCTCTTGATTTACTGTCCCCTGCTGGCAAGCTACAGTGATTTCTGTGCAAGAGTAATGTTCTGTCCTCCTCAGACATACTCCATTCCATTTTTTTTTCAGCTCTCATCTCTTTGGACTGAATCTCTAGAAAGGCACAATGCTTTTCACATAAAAACCATTTGTCTGATATCTTAACTTTGGCATTTTTTCTGTAGAAGAGGGATAAAAATGGCCCAGTGAATCAGGGATTTATTTCCTTCCTTTCAGGTCCACTCAGATCTGCCCATTGGTAACATTTCATCCCTATTGCTAAAGGCTGGAGGCAGAGGTATCAGTAGAGCCTCAAGGAGTAAGTCCTTTCCTGATAAGGAGAAGCGGCTCCTCCATGACTGTAAGGACAGTACTGTCACTCAGAGCCCCAGATGAATTAAATGGTGCACTTCCTGCCTTCTGCTTTCACTTACCCCTGCTTCCATTCTAAGTCAGCTGGGCTGAAAATACACCAAACCCACTACCTTAGCGCATTTTTATACTGCGGAATAGATAAGACTAGAATTCATGCCTGGTAAAGCCAACTGAAATGAACATGATCTGGTATTTCCCTTTTTAAAATTCTAGACTTGAAACCCAAAGGACTTAATAGCAGTTCTATTCCATGAATCACTAGGTCTCAGCAAGGTACATTAGAAGTTCCACATATATTCTATCCAAAATCATTTTAAAGTATATATTTTAAGCTATAATAAAGCAACATGTGCATGCATTTAATATCATATTTTTCTATCTGGGAGATCACCAATTTGTTAATTTCCATTTTTACTGCCTTATGTATGAAATAGATGCTATAAATTTAAGTTGATAAAATTAATTTATTTCACACATTGGCATTCCATAAACATTTCTTGCTACAAGAAAAAAAAGGAAATAGCCTAGTGAGTTATTTAGGAAATCTGAAAATCACCAAAGTTGAATAAAGTCCTTCATTTTTAAACTAAATTCAGCTGCTGATTGGCCTTTTCACTTCGGATCCTGTGTAATCTCTAAAGAGACTGAGTCCTGGGCACGAGAATGCTACTTCCCAACTCTAGACACTTAGGACAGGGTCAGAACCCCAGCCCCTCAGGAAGGGCAGGAGGGCAGTGGGTCCGCTTTACTGTAACAGTGGAATGTGGAGAAGCAGGAGATGCCGGCATTAAAAGCAGTATCCCTGAGGTCGGTATTCCCTCCTCACACCCTGAAGACAGCCTTGGGGCCTCCCGTTACAGTCCAGGCAAGACACTGCAGCCAACGTCAGGCGAGGTGAGAAAAACTCAGAAGGCAAGAACTGCCCCACTGCACCAGTGCCTGGGCCGGCTGATCAGTGCGTGCTTTGCTGCATCTGAGCAGCAGCGCTGAGGAAACGGAAGCGCCGCACTGTGAGAGCGCGAAGCCACTGGGCAGGAAATTGCACTAAAAGTGAGACCTTTTCCTTTTTCTCTTTGGTTTTTTTTTTTCCAGTATCAGGAATGGAAACCAGGTACCCCTTACCACTGAGCCACACCTCCAGCCCTTTTTTTTTGAGCTGGGGCCTTGCTGAAGCAGCCCAGGTTGGCTACTAACTCGGCCTCCCGAACAGCAGGGGTCACACCCATAAACCGCTGTGCCCAGCGAGTTGAGTTCTTGAGGGTAATTTCCAGAACAGTACAGTATTCTGGAGGTGTCAAATATGAAAAAAATTAAAAAAACAAACTTCTATGTTTGCTCCAAAGTTCAGGCCAGAGCCCCCAACCAAACTGCAGGGATTCGGGGTTGTGGGGCCCAGCATAAGGGCAGGCTATGGAAGGAAGCTCATACCACAGCTGTTCTCTGTGTATCTGAGGCTGTGAATGGGGCCAGGGTTTCGTGGGGAAACAATGTCAACCTTAAAAGTTGTGCTCATCTTCAAGAATGGGCTGAAGTGGAGTAGTGTCTGGCAGAGGGCTTTCCTCATCGGCCCACCTCTCGGAAGTTAATCTCCATCTCTCAGCAGAGGTAGAGGTCAAAAGATGCACAAATCATGCAATGCCTGGGTGGGCTGAGGGGTGCACATAAAAACTAGCCTCCTTATCTCGCCCTGCATGTGCTTCAGGTGCCAGCTTTGGCAGGACAGTTTCCCCAGTGAAAATCTCCCACCACTACTGCCAGTGGGCAGAGGGGTTCGCGGAGCAGACGCCAGCAAGCCCAGGACGGGGGTCTGAGCAGCCGGCTCTCCAAGAAGAGGTGCTGGCAGCCCTGGGTCCCCAAGACTGCTCTGCTGGGCCACACAGATGAAGCCCAGTAAGCGAGACATGTGGAAGCGACAGTGAGAGACACAGCGAGTCCCTAAGTCCTCTGTCTTGCAGTAGTGGGGAGAGACACCCCTTTGTCCCCAGCATGGCGAGGCGAGGTGACGCACTACTTAGAGCCCAAAGGAACAGAGATGTAAAAGGACACCCACAGCAATCCGCAGAACCCCTGGCTGCCTCTGCTAGTGAAAGAAGCTCAGGGCATGAGGGAAACACTCGGGAGCTGAGCCACCCACGTCATGTGATCTTGACTGGCGACTTCTTGTTGGCACACAGGAGGGACACATAGGGGATGCCGATGAAGGCCCACTTCTCACTGGGCCAGAACTTGATGACAGGGCCTTGCTCGGGGATCTCGGAGGCAGCATCGAAGTAGGCAAAGCACACGCAGCCCAGGTAGGCAGCCAGGCAGATGAGGATGTGCCTGCAAAGAGCAGAGTGAAAAGGGCAGGGAAGAGCAAGACCCCTGGCCCATGGTCCGCTCCTGCCTGGCTACCACCCAGAAGGATGAAGATGGTACAACCCCCTGAAAAGCAAGGCAGTACACCCTGAGCAATCCAAGCATTTTGGAATGTTCTAAAATATTCCCACTTAATGCCTGGAACAAACAAGCTAAGGCCTTGGCCTCTACCAGAAGAGCGGTCCAAGGACTTAAAACAGAAGTGGCAAAATGGAAATAGCAGGACATATCAGATTAGATTCTCACTTTAACAAAAAGCTGCTTACCAATAGCTTCTTCCCTTCATCAAGAATAAGTTTAATAGTGACTATGAAGGAAGATTGTAAGTTTGAGCCCAGCCTGCACAACTTACCAAGACCCTGTCTCAAAAATTAAAAAACCAAGGTTGGTGGGAGGGGGAATTGGTAGGGACTGTGGATGTCGCTTCATAGTAAGCACCCCTGGGTTCAATCCTCCGTACTACACAAAAATATAAAAGTAGTTAAAAATCCTTGCATTACACAGAACAATAAAAAACCCTGGGCATTTCCACTGTGTTTGGAAAGGGCGGGGTGGAGAGGATGGGACGCAGCCGGTAACTACAAACCCACTGCATCCATACAGACGCCGAGGGCTGCGAGGAGCACCAAGTGAAAGGAAGTAGCTCCCTGGGTATAAACTGTTAAAAATGGAAATACTCAATAGAAAAGATAAAAAAAGTAAAGGACACACTGCAAAAGAGGAAATACAGCAAATTTACTTTTGAAAAAATGATCAACAATACTAATTTTTTAAAGACTGACATTAAAAACAAAATATATTTTTTCCAATAAACTGAGATTTAAAAGAGTTAACATCCTATATATGTAAACATATGGGTAAAAGGCATTCGATTAACAGACTTTAGTAAAAAAGTGTTAATTGGTACCATCTCTTCAGATTTTGCAATTTAGATTACAATTTAATCTATGGGAATATTCAGGAATTAGAATCAATACAGATATTTATTATAAGTTGTTTATAAAAGTGAAAAATTAGAGATAACCTAAACATCCACTAACAGATTGGTTAAATGAATTAAAAAGCATTCATATCATGAAGTATCAAATATAAAAAATAAATAAATATGTATGCAATGGTATAGAATGGTGCCTCTGAGCCAGTATTTGGTTAAACAAAACTAGGGTCGGTTTGCATCATATATAGAATAATGCTATTTTTGTTTTTAAAAAGCAGAAAGGTTCAAGAGTATAAGGGTGCAATTGGATGGAAGAAAAAACTTTTAAAGTTCTATGTCACAGAAAGATAAATATGGTTAAATATGAACTGAATATCTCAAAATAGCTTCTATAGAAGATTTTGAATGTTCCCAACAAAAGAAATAATATCTAAGGTAATGGATATGCCAATGATCCAGATCTGATCATTAAAAATTGTGTATATATATCACAATATCACACTATACCACATAAAGTGTATAATTATGTGTCAAAAATAAAAATATTTTTAAAAGTAGGAGAAAAATACATATATATATATATACAGTATAAAATCTGAAAAGATAGACTTTATATGTTCTTGCTTTAGCAGCACATATACTAAAAGACAGACTTTATCTTTGGGGGAAATTATGAAATATGAAATTATGAGAGATACCTTCTATAGTTCTGTTATTTAAATTTGCTATTAAAAATACAGATTACTTATATGTGTACCCATGTTTATAGTATGACAGGGGAAAAATAACTCCCAACCGGCTAGATATCAGAGGTACCAAGTTTGTGTCCCCTAAACTCATCGAAAGATGAATTCCAAGGGACAATGGAGGTTTAAAGTAGGAAAGGTTTATTAGGAGAGAGCTCCTGAGAGAGACAAGAGGGAACCCAAAAGGGTTAGCACTGAGGCTATTTCTCCAAGAATGTTTTAGAGAGCAAAAGCATGAGGTGGGCACAATGTGAGTCTAACTACAATCAACCAATAAGATTATAAACACAGTCGCTTAGCTAATATTGATCCACTCAGGAAGCAAGGCATGTGGTAAGGGTTTATGGTGAGCGGCATGAACTTCAGCTTATCTACAACTTCAAACAAAAACATTGATGTCACCCATGAGGGGCATCTGATGCCCATGTGGACTTCCTGGACCAGGAGGTGCTGATTACAGTATAATCTCAAGTTGCTGTTTATCCCTTAGGGAGGCCTACAGGCCTGGTCACCTTGACACCTGACCTTCAAACCTGCCTCGGCCTTGGTACTGACTCCCTTGAGGGCCCATCCTCGTCTGACTGCCCGTTAATGTCTATCTGACTTAGCTGTCTATAATAATATTGGCACAGTTCACAATAGCTGAGCTGTGGAAACAGGCTCGATGTCTGGCAAATACGAGTATTTTCCGGCATAAAAAAGAATGAAATCATGACACTTGCAGGAAAAAGGATAGAACTAGAGACCATAATGTTAAGCAAAATAACCCACACTCAGAAAGTTAAATATTGTTATGTTTTCTCTCATATGAGAAACCTAATAAACTAATTAATTGAAGGAAAGATGGCAGGAAAAAAGCACATCACTTGTGAAAAAGTACACCAGATTCATAAACAAACTAAGTTTGAGGCAAAGTTATCACATAATCTAAATTTTGAATTTTACTTAAATCCCTACTATAACAACAGGACTTTGATAAAAATGTACATCTTGAATAAAGCCATATTTATATAGGTATACATATTTATCAAACTCAAAGTATGTACTTAAAAATCTGTATTTTATTATCTGTAAATTCAACTCCACAAATATGTGAAGTGTATAAATTCACTGAGGTGAACTGAAGTTAAACCTAAGAAATTTCAGGCAGTGGATCCTAAGACTGAAGAACCCAACTTGTACTGTTTCGTTTTTGAAAGCAGTTCTGGAAGTCCCCGAGATTTATATTTGCACAGCCTGGATCTCAAGATAAATGAATGCAAATTCAAATTTCTTTGTGCAAGGAAACGTAAGTCAAATCTTACACGGGGCATCTTCAGGCCAGTTCCAGCCAGACACTAAGCTTCTGCATCTCTGTTTGACAAAGCCTGCACACCCTCAGCACTAGAAATCACCCCTGGGGGCGCTCACGCTACCAGGGCCAGAAGACCTTGGATTTCTCTCAGTCCTACTACTTTTTGCCATTAGCAGGAAACCCTAGAGGGCTGGAGCTGAAGCAGTTTCTGGGAAGGACTCACCCCTCATTCCTCCCCGGTTTAGGTGTGGGTCTGATACTGCCTGAGGCTGTGACCTGCTTTTTGTAATAACTTAATGGAGCATTCCAAAACAGGTAGTCCAGCTAGCTATCCCTGAACTGCAAGGCTGTTTTTATGTACACAGCTGGGTAATATTGTCAATTATTCCTTTCAGTCCTCTGGTTGTCTGTCTCTAACTATAACAAGAGCAGCTGAGACTGTCCCGAGATGACCTGGTCATTCAAGCCCTGAGGACATTCCCAGGCCTTACATCAAGTGTCAGTCCCAAACTCCACCCCACCCCACCTGGCCAGCACTCAGGTTACAGATTCAGCTTTCCAGCTCCTTTGTGCTTTAATAATGGAGCCAGAGATAAGAGACTGCAGGCCTGAGGTTAACAATCAGGCCTTTCTGTTCTGGATAAGCTCCTTGAAGCCAGTTCCACTTTTTACAGTGCTTCTGCTGCTCCTGAAAGTATAATGGTGGCAACAAGAGGAGCCATGGCTCTGTACCTGAGCTGTCCCTTTAGGCCACCAGTGCACCTTGCAAGTGCAGACCCTGTCTCAGAGCAGAGCAGAGCGGCTGCCCCTCTCCCCAGCAGGCAGGGCTTACCACACACAGTGCAGGTACGGGAAGTGGAAGGACGACAGTAGCTCACAGAAGGCCCGGTCACTGATCCAGCAGAAGAGGGCCAGGGTCCACCAGAGGCCAGAGAAGAGGCCCAGCTTAAACACACGCACATTGTCACACCTACAAGGAGGGAGAGAGCAGCTTGGTCAGTGCTGGTTCCCACCTTCTCCCGCTCTGGATCCTCCCATCTGCCTTGGCCCCTGCACAGAGCTCCTGCCCACCACAGTTACCCTCCAGCCTGCTCGAGGTCCATTCCTAAGTGCACGAGCTACCAGAGCCCTACCCGCCTGGCCTCACCCTCCCTCCAGACTCCAGGATGGCTCCCCTCCGACATGTGGACCCTGGTGTCCTAAATAAACTCCCGTCCCTTTCCCTGCCCCAAACTTGTCTTCTCTTGGCCTTTTCCTTTCTCACACAATTCACATCCAGTCCCTCATCCCTAACTTCAAAAGCAGATCCCAGGGCTGGGGATTTAGCTCAGTGGTTTCGCCGCCTTCGATCCCCGGCACCAAAAAAAAAAAAAAAAAAGCAGATCCCAAGTCTGTCCTCTTCCTACCACCTCCACCTGGGTGCCTGCCACTGTTAGAGGCAGCCAAGTTGGACTGAAATTATGTACAGCCAGAGAGGGACTGGACCCTCAAAGAAATCAGCACAAAAGACATCAGAGTTGCAGCTGGGACAGTGGCCAGGTTGCAGGCCTCCATGAGGTATAGATAAACAATAACTTGAGTGTGTACTACAACCAGCACCTTGGGTCCAGCGGGCCAGACAGGCGTCAAGACACCTCAGGGGGTGACCAGAGCACCTGGACCCACCCCTCCCCAAAATGCCCTTGTTCTTTCCATGTACCCTTGCTACAAGACTCGATTCCCTATTGGATCAATGACCCACACTGTACCCATGTTATGACTTTGCTGTGTTAACTACCTCTGACAAAGTGCCTCCACAGCCACCTATGCAGGACCCTGCTGGGAATCCAGGAGCTGTCCTTCTCCCTATTTCCAATAAAACTCTAACTTCCTCCTTTGGTTCACAACTTCATTCCTCAATGTAGTGAGACTTCGAACTCGGCAGGCCGGGAGTTGTATTTGTCCTGTTTCACCCTCATCTCCTCCACAGCCTGCTGCCACCCTTGCCCCTACCATAGGTTTTAGTATCATTTTTAGGGTTTTTATCAAAATTTAATTTTTTTAAAAAGCATACATACAAATCCCTACTTTAGGACAGAAAAATCTGAGAGGCATGTCTACTATTTCTTCTCTTCTCATCCCTTTATTCTGTTCTCAAAGTGGTTTTTTAGTAAAATCACTTACAATAAGAAAGTATATTTTAAAATATTTTAAATGCAGCCGAGTCTCTTGGCAATGATTTACCACAAATTTCAGTAAATGTCAGGCAGGTCATGACCCAAAATCAGAATAAACGAGTTTTCTCAAGGGTGACAGGTTTGAAAGGATGATGACAATGTAAACAGACGAGGCCGGCTTCAGGAATGAGGCCAAAGAGAAACGGAAGGCTGAGGCCCAGCCTTCTGCGTTCCTCGAGCAAAGGGAGGTGCCCAGAACACTTGGTCTGGACGCCCGGTAACGCGGGGGACGGCGGAGGGTGAGGAGGAAGGGCAGGCGCCAGGCAGCCCTGGCCCAGTGTCTGTCAGGGCGGAACAGGGGCCCCACAGCGCTTCCTAGCGCAGCCACAGCAGTGTTCCCAGAGCCGCAGACAGCAGGACTGGCTTTCTAGTCCGGATGGGGACAGCGCCGCGGGAAGTCCGGGCGGCCAGCGCCGAAGGGAAAGGCACTGAGCGGGGCACAGATGCAGATCCTACTGCGTAGCGGAAGTCACAGGCGCGCAGGCGCCGGGCTCCGTGGGGCCGGGCCGTGAGGGGCCAGCAGCGGTGTCCGGCCGGGCCGAGCGGAGCGCGGGCTCGGGGAGGCCGAGGGAGCGGGCTCCGGGCCCGCAGCAGGAAGTGTTCGGAAGAAGTGGAGCGGCGGGAGCCTCGCTTCGGGGTCAGAGAAGCCGAGCAGTGGCGGCGGAGGGGAAGGAGCCGCGCGTGGACATGGAACCCGGAGCCCCGCGCGCGTACCAGACAGTGCCCTCCCCGCCCCATGCTGGGAGCCCCGGAGGGCGGCACCTCAACCCGGCACCGCCCGCCTAGCAGTCGCTGCCCACAGAGAGAAGAGCGAGGGGAGGGGAGGTCTTCAGACCCCTGCGTGCAGCGCTGCAGGGAAGGAGCCCGGGAGGCTGGAAGGAGCTGCTGTGGGGCCGCGGCACCGGGGAGCTAGCGTTTCCTGAGGCGGAGCAGACTGAAAGCCACCGAAGGAGGGCGGAGGCGCCTGAAGAGGCCTGGCTGTGAGGAACAGGGGGAGCCCTGGGCCGGGCCCACTCGGCCCTTCGGGACGGAGACCTGGAGTGTGGGAGGAGCACGTTCCCGAGGGCTGGGCAGCACAGTGGGCAGTTTACAGAGGCTACGCGGTCCTGGAGTGGAGGGAGAAGTGAGGAGTACAGAGGGCAATCTCTAAGGGCAAGGGCGGAAGGGCCGCCCCAGGTGCTGGAGTAGGAGAGCCCACGCCTCCCAAGCGGAGATTTTAAGCAGGGAACAGAAATTATTCCCTTGTAATTATTTACAAAGATTTGAGTATTAAAGGGAAATAATTTTCCTTGTTAATAACAATTGTGAGGAATGATTTATTTAGGCTGTAATAAGCAACCCTAACCACTTGCCTCCCCCATTTGCTCAAGTAGGTAATATGAACTTCAATTTTTTTTCCTGGGACCAGGATCAAACTCAGGGCCTTGTGCTTGTGAGGCAGGCACAGCACCACTGAGCTAAATCCCCAGGCCCTTCAAACATTTTCCCTTAAGCTACTTTTAACAGAAGTATATGTGGAGGGCTGGGGATTTAGCTCAGTGGTTCCGCTGCCTGCCTCGCAAGCAAAAGATCCCAAGTTCAATGCCCAGTACCAAAAAAAAAAAAGATAAACGTATATGTGGAAACATGTAATTAGACTCAAGAATTAAAATGAAACTACACTGTAGTGAATTCTCAAGAAGTACAACTAAATCCAGAACAGTATCCACTGCAGGCCCAATGTAAGCCTGAGCTGAATGATACAAATGAAAATCCACCTCAGATGTCTTCACTGCAGTGAACCATGTGCTCTCCTGAGAGCCTAAAGATCCACCAGTGTCCAGGATGCAAACGGCCAAAGCCTCTGGAGCCAGGCACACCAGGCCACGTACACTGAGGGTCAGCACCTCCCCGCAGGGCACACCAGGGAAAATTCCTTGATAATAAAGGTTGAATCCTCAAGAGAAGAAATAAATAAGAAGTATAGACCTCTCTTTTAGGTTGACTACTCTGTCCTTGCTGAAACACAGGCAAGAAAGGTAAGAAAACTAGTATTTGTCGAGTATCTACCACACAACACGCACCAGGCTAAATAAGTCTTACTCACCCCTCCCTTCAAGACTGCAGGACCTCAGCATTATTACCTCCCATTTACAACGTTGGCCAGGAGACCCACATTAGTGAAGAGAGGCCTGAACTTTGAGGCCAGTAAAAGGTAAAGCCAAGAGCCCAACTCAAGCCCAAATTCCTGCTATACCCTCCAGTGAATGCATGGACCCTCAAAGAGTCCTTTGATTCTGTAATGAGAAAAGTCAGAGATACCTGCCAAACAATAAGGGGAAAGGCAGTCTTTTGAATTTTCAAAGGTAATGGCAAAATTCACAAATCAATAAAGTATAATTTCTGCCTTTGAAGAATACCATATTAGAAGAATAAGAGAAGACAAGGAAATATGTATATTAAGGGAAAATATTCTAAATAAAATATAAAAGTACAGAGCATTTAGGAAGAGAACAATCCCTTCTGGCTGAGAGGGGGCAGGAGCTGGCACCAGGGATGGGTGTTGTTGGGGTGAACTCAGCAAAGCAGATGTTGGGAATGGCACCCCAGGAGAGAAGCAGTGTAAGCAAGGACCTAAGACAAGCACTCAAGGAGCCTGGTCACAGGCACAGGGAGGAGCAGGCAGGAAGGGTCCAAGGGAGCTGGACAGTGAAGCGACACTGAAGGTCTCCACAGGGATGAGGGAGTAGCATGGGAGAGGCCCCTCTAGCAAGAAGATAGCAGGTGGGGCGGTGGCTAGGCCAGCAGTCCTGGGAGGACAACACTGAGGAGACACCATGGAGAACGAGCCTGTGAACTGCAGCCATCCCTGGCAGTGGCAGGAGATGACAGTCTGTGACAACTGTGGAGCTTCAAGTCGAAAGGGCTTCAGAGCAGTGACACCGCTGAAAGGACCTGGGTGTCCGAAATGGGATATGAGAAGGGGAGCAGGGAGCAGTGTGAGGAGAGGGCGAGACAGCAGGAATGGAGTCAGCCAGTGACCTGGAACTAGTAGTCTGGAAAACAGGAAGTCGCACTGAGATTCGCAGCAAGCCATGGGAACATGACACAGGACCTCAGAGAAGAGGCTGAGGTCAGGGTGGAGGAGAGGCGGATGTGTACAGGACCAGAGAAACTAAGAGAAGGAACCAACAGAAGGACCCTGAGCATGACCAGATGCTTCACACACAGCAAGGTGGAGGGGGACTGAAAAGGGCTACTAGATTTTGAAAAGGTTGTTATTACAGCCTAAAGAAATAATTATGAGTACACAAAAATACATAAAACTATTCATCAAAGAAGTATTTATAGTAGTGAAAAACCAGAAATAATCAACATGTTCAAAAGTAGAGAATTGGTTGACTAAACTTAATATTCCAGTAAGTTAAAATTATATATGGTTATTAAAAATGAGAATTAATCTCTGGGAGGCTGAGGCAGGAGGATCCCAAGTTCAAGCCAAACCTGGGCAACTTTTAGCAAGACGTCTCAAAAAAGGAAGGGGGGGCAATGTGAGGATGTAGCTCAGTACCAAGGCCCTAGGTTCAACCCCCAGCACCACAAAAACAGAGGACATAGAGCTATACTTATTTACCACAGTACAGTGGCACCTCAGCTCTCGAACTTAATTTGTCCACGATTCTCCAAAAGATGGTTGCTGTCCTGTTGGTCACCGAATGCAGAGTACGCAAACAAAAATTCTGCCAAATGCTTCAGTTTGCAAACCAAATTATTTGCAAACAAAAGCATTCGTGAACCAAGGTACCACTGTATATTCCTAAGAAAATAAAATTTCAAATTAACTTTTTTTGTTGGTTTTTTTTTTTTGGTACCAGGGATCAAACTCGGGACCTTGCACTTGCGAGGAAGGCGGCGGAACAAATTAACTTACTTTTAAAACCTCATTTTTATAAAAATGTATACTACAGAGCTAGGTTTCTTAAAAAGATAAGATAGCAAAATACAAAAGCCTGAAAGAACACATCCCAAAAGGCTAATGGTCCTCACCATCAGGGGGCTGTTCCGTTGTTTTTATTTAGCGCTATGAGCCAAGCATTGCTACCAAATATTAACTGTATTTAATATGTAATTAATGTATTTCCTTTTTTTTCTGTCTGTATTCTGATTTTTTCTTCCACAAAATATGAGTCACTTGACAAAAATTCGGTCTTTTTGAAAGGGTCATTAGTAACCACTGAGTAAAGATGGGAGGGAAGCCACACTGCAAGAAATTCTAGAATTCACAGTGAAGAAGGAAGGGTGACGAGTAGAGAAAATTCTCTTAAGAAACCTGGCCACAGGACAGAGAATGAACATCACCTGGCTGCAGATGGCCAACTGCACCTCAGTCATCATTGTCACCAGGCAGAAGGCTTAGCTCTGAGCAAACCTGCAGCTACAGTGCCAAACCTGCAGCTCAGGCTATGGTTATGGCAGAGTTTTAGACAAATGAAAGAGAGACCATGTTATGAAAGCAATGATTTGACATGAGCTTTATTGAAAACTTTCTTCCTGTGAAGAAACATGTCAGATGAAAGTATGTAACTTTAGACATTAAGCTTAAGAACTAGTTCGTTGGGTGACAAGATGACTAGTGATTTATTAAAGACCACAAGTCCTCCCTATCTATATCTCTTTACCATCACAGATTCCAGTTTACTACCCAGACATAGAAAAAGGGCTTCCTCCAGAAAGCTAAATATCCTCATGCCTGAAATGTGCAGTTTAGATCAGATCTATTGTTCTCCGAGCCAGACACGAGATAGAATCAGCCAGGCAGTTTCTGGAGAGTTTGTTTTGTTTATAGTTTTACTCAAGTATTTTTCACATACTGCATTTTTACTCAAAAGGATTCACTGCCATAGTTATTCTTCTAGGACCAACGTCAGCCTGTTTCTGAAATGAATCTCTTACATCCCCAGTTCTTGAAGGTCACTCAAAGAAGCTAACTAACTACACGAGACCTGACATTTATCCCTTTTCAGGCAGCAAGTTCAAATACCTCTCCAGTCACCTCTGGCCCCAACTGCTACAGCTGACAATCAAAACAAGCCCCAGAGGCAAAGCACTGGGGAAGAAATGTCTGTCTCCTCTCTACATTAGGAGAGAAGGGTGACGTAACAGGTTACACAGAGCAGTTACCACCCAGAGAGAAACATATCCCAGACTTCAGCTGAGACATTCGATGTCCACCACAATGAGAAAGGAATGGACTAAATGCATTTTTAAGGTGGCTGCAAAAAAAATGTTTTCAACAAATATTAAAATAAGGGCAGTGATTACATATATTTTAGTTGGGGCTTGTGAACAGTCATGTATACACAAGTGCTAAACTAAAATGTGTTTGAATATCAACCTGAACTGTGGACATACAATTGCCCAAAGGAAATGCTCATGCCAGTAGCAAGGGCTTTCTCTGAGCCTTTGAGACACAAAGCCTCAGGACGGGTCACCTTCAATGGTTTCTGCTTGAGGTTAATGTTTCCTTGAATATAGAAATGTACTTTCCCTGAGTCTTCGTCTTTGTCCTTCTGTGTTTCTTTGTCCTTCTGTGTATGACCTCTGCAATGACCTCTTTATGGTTTCCTTTTTCTTATTTTTGTCATATGGACAAATCTATTTTCCTTTCTACAGAATTAAGCCTAGCAGCTCATTCTGCACTAAAAGGTTCCCATTGGGCTTGCGTCTGATCATTAAGATGCACACATCCACTAAACAGCTGCTGCACATATGAAAAGGAAACCATTAACATTCTGACCATCCAACCTGCTCCAATCTAGCAGTCAGGAGCTAAAACTTCATACAGCATAGAAGTCCTCTTCTGGGCTGGGAGACAGCAAAGGAAGGAGAGCGGGGTATTCCCACCCTGGGACAGCCCACAGGGTCATCAGGAGCACTGGCACCCACCTCTTCAGCTCCGCCACGAGCAGCGCGGTACATGGAACTCCCAGTGTCATCAAGGAGATGTTGTTGATGGCAGGCTTGACAAACGCCAGGCAGGTCGTAACCGCAGACAGGATGCAGACCACTGCCTTGAACCTGCCCCTGAATCCACAGAAGCAACACCAAATCCATCAGCAAAGGAGTTCTTGTTTGTTTGCTTAGTGTTGGGGCACTGCTATTTGTGTAAGCTGAAAAGAAATTCTGCACACACGAAGTACCAAGGGCCTCCCAGCCATTCACACTCACTGGCTTGGTAATCCCATTTCTAAGAATTCTTAGGAAATAATCAGAGACTTTCAAAATACTTAGCCACAAGAATGGTAAAACTAGAATCAACCTAAGTCTCTGAGGATGAGACGTGGATAATCATTCTCCTGGTGTTAATTTTCCTTACTTTTTCAGTGCTCATGGCAGGCTTTGACAAATGTTTTCTGTGAAGGATCAGAGCATAGCTTAGGTTTTGCAGGTCCTAACATCTGTGTGTCAATAATATTTGATTTGCACGGATAAGATCTTTTTGACCCACAGGACACATTCTGTCAGATGAATATGAATGGCTCTTATATGAGAAGCAGAGACATTGATAAACCAAAATTTTCCTAGTTTAAAAGAAAAAAAAAGATGTCCTAATGTGCCTAACACACAAAATCAAAAGTTTTGTTTTAAAGGATATTCAACAACCTGCAAGTCTAGTATGCACTAGAATTTGTCTTGACAACTTATTTATGTACAATTCTTGGAAAAAATACCAACACTGCCCTCATACCCTGGAGTGGAGGTCATTTTGGTGAAGAGAGCCAGAAGTGGCGACGTGATCCTGGACGTGCTCCTCTCAGAGACCCCATTTCCTGAGCTATGAAATGAAGAGGCTGTGCCAGAGGATCTCTACTTCCTCATCTCTGACTTCAACTGAGGAGCACATGATTTTCCTAAAGTTTCTGTTACTGCTCATTAGCAGACTTTGCTTTGGCCAAGAGCCCTGGAACAGGTCACGGTTAGGAAACCAGTTTGAATGAGATTCTATTCTAGAGAAATCAAAGGGCACTGAACTTTCAAAATACAAATTTATCTCTTAAATAGGAAAACCATTTATCATCAAGGCACAGGAAATCATTGATCAAGCTGCCAACTTTCTGACTGGAATGAACAGGCCCTGTGGCCCTGAACTCTACCAGAGGAAAAAAACACACACGGGAAGGGATCCGGGCAGCAAACCCTCAAGAGAATCGTGTTTTTCTTCTGACCCTGAACGGCCTTCTGGCAAAGCCCAACCGACCTCCAATGCTGCTTGACAAAGTTCCAGCTGGGGGAAAGAAAGGGTGGAACACATCGTACCCTCATGTTTTATTTTTTCTTGCCATAATGTTTATAATTGTTACTCTGGTCACAGGAGTCACTGTGTTTGTGACTAACAACAAACTCTCCTTGAGACAAATTGGCAATGATGTATTGAAATCTGATCTGGCTCACAAGTCCCAAATTCTTGTTCTTCTTAGTTCTATTGCCACATCCACTCCTAAAGAAACCTCTCCTAAAACCCCATTTCCCCACTACTATAACTCCCCCTCTTGTTGTTGACATTCTATTTACTAAAGGGGTCTTATGAAGAGATTGAAAGGACAGACTTTAGATGTAAGAAATAGTGGAAAATGGGAAATAGAAAGAATGTTAAGACAGGTAAATGCATTAAGGAGGCAAGTTACTCAATATTTCTCAAAGTGCTGTAAATATCTCCTGCTC